CCACGCTCCAGCGTCTCTTACCTGTCGCCTTTCTGATTATTTCCATTTCAGCATTCGCTGTTATTAATTAAATTTGCAGGTTATATGATATAATCCACTACAGTTACAAGATGCGTTACGTTACGTTCACTTTTTGTTTTAAATAAGGTGTTATTGCATTTTTAAGGGAAAAGGGTGTATCATAATTGTAAATCATAATTTTTGTTGTCAGCAAGTACAGTGTGAATGAGATTTTGAGCTTGTTTTGGCATGAAAGTTTGTATTTAAGTCTATTTTTTTTATATCATTAAGAGAATTTGAATAAAATGTGACTGGTGCGCTTGTGCTGTAGGATCCACAAGAATTACGTAAAAATTGAATAGTGCGTACGTCAGAAACCTTGTGCACAAGAAAATGTAATGATTTGTATGAATGTCTTCGTTAGTAAAAAAAAACATGGATTGCGTAAAATCAGAAAGTAGCCTCTAATCTGGTTAGATGATGGCAGAGTGTCGTCTGTTGGCCGCTCGCTTAGCGTTAGTAACAAAAGAACTCTGACGTTCATAAACAGTCTTGGGCTATATAATCCAGTGGGATTTGAATATATGCATACTGAAGTTTCAGTCAGGATGGCTGGTGGTGTTAGTGCACTCTCAAGAGGACGCGTACAGTACCAATAGCATGGTATTGGTTGAATTCTCACTGCGTGCTACAATGAAATTGCATGCTACATATTTGGCTGGTTTTTAATCTAGAGTTTGCTGAAACTTGTTACTTCTCTGTGCACAGTAATATTTGCAGAATTAATTTTATTATACTAGAAGAATAGTTTAGCTTATAAAGTAAAGACATGTTTGGGTTTCATTAAAGACCTTTTGCCATTTTGAAGTACATTGAAATGTGCAGATTTAGTTATTTTATTTATTTTAGTTATTCAATGTTATGGTTGTCTTCATTTTTTCTTCTTTTCTTTTCGATACTGTATGACCTCTGCTGCTGAAATGGCATTGCTAAATAGCCTGAGGATCAAAATAGAAAGTTTCAGGTCATGGAATGTGTGACCCATTATATAAAATAAATTTCCATTTTGTCTAATGTGTCTTGTTTTCTGTAGGGTGGTGAAAGTAATTACTTGAGGGCTGTCATTTTCACTTCTGCTGGCATTTTTACGCACTCATTTAGGATTGTTTAAGGTCCCTGTCCCTATACATATATTAAAATATAGCGTGTTCAATATATTTATGTATTTATTTTTAGTACAGTGTTAGTGCACAACTGTAATTGTGATAAGTCTGAAGTATTTTGTAGATTTGTTTATCTACCCTGATCTTTCACTGCCAAGCCTTGTGCTAAAGGCTGTACAAGAATTGTCAAGCTATTTCATAAAACGTGTATGACATTAGTGTTACCTGTGCATGACATAAGAGGTGTAAAACATTGAAAATTGAATACTGTGCTCGGTAGTGCCATCTCATAACATATGAAAACCAGCGTCTTAATTATAAATCATATGAAATTATGACGTGTGACTTTCATATGAATTTTGATGTGTGACATGATATACAAAAACTGTGATGTGTCTCAATTATGCAGTAACATTGTTTCAAAAACAGTAAGGTCATAACATATATAGTAAATTTTCCACATTGGAAAAGACAAGAAACCAACATCCAGGACTTATGGAGCTCAAATATTTCTTGAGATCCTGGCCTTTGCGATGAAAAACAGTCATGAATTTAATAGAAATAATTAAGTAGCTGATTGACATATTGATGAATAAAAGTTTACTTTGTGTAGGATTGCACAGAACCTGATGCACTTGTATTCTTATCAAGGTTGTGCTTCAAGGTTTCTCACGCCGCCGCCATATCCGGAAATTGCGACGGCCATAGTTATCTAGCCATTACCTGTTCATTTAATATTTTCTGCAAGGCCTAAGTGACTTGTGGGCTTCATTACTACAACAAACATTAAAGAAAATTGTATGGAAATTCTCCAGACTGAAATGTCAGTAGAAACTAAAGTCTTCTGCTGATAGAAGAAGTGTATGTGTATTTTATGTTTTGTCTTATTTTAGTTCAATACAATCCTTGCATTGACTTGTACTAATTTTATTTTATCATTTATCTAATTTTAAAATTACTACTGTCCTCTTATATCAGTTTGTGTTTGCCCAGGAATAAATGTCATCCTCTTTGTTATAGGATGGTCCATATCTGTTTCCTCTTATTTCTTAGAGTAAGGTGCTCTGGGTGATGATGAGAAAGGATCGTGGATGTGATGTCTGTCGACTGACATTCATTAACATAAAGTGCATGAAGTATGTCCTCTTTTCCACTTTTTGCCTGACGTCAAACCTCTGTCCATCCACAGTTACTCCACCTTAGTTTCTCCCATGGTCTTCTTCGTTTTTGATGACATCTTTCCTATTCTTCTTTTCATTTTTACCTTGGTCTTTCTTGTGCGGGAATGTACTTTTTCTTATCCATACCATCTCATTCGCTTACATGAATTTGCCTTTCAAGGTGTTCAGCATAAAATTCTCTATATACGTAATTAGTATTGGGTAGAATCATCACTATTATTTATTTTCACTACATGAACATTCTGAGACATCTAACAGTAAATTTGATGTATCGTAATATTTTCATTTGTAGCCTACAAGAGAAAATAGGTTTTTCATCTCCCCTGTCCCTGTGTAACATGAAACATTCAAGTTTTTTAAGGTGGGAGTTGTTGGTTCCCCTGCCTAAGCCCACAAACTGGAGGACAACTCCTTGTCAACTGTCCACAACTGCTTATTCAATATATTCATAGCTGCCCTCTATCTTTGGAGGCCATTTCCATCACCCAGTACCTGAGGATGCACCAAACCATGATTAAAAGGGACCCACGTAACATGTGTCTTTGTTATAGTGTCACTGTTCATCATATCTCTTCTGGTAGTTGCTGTTGTTCATTTCTGTAAAATTTAGATTTTTCTTGCTTGTTCACTTAAAACTGCTTTAATATACTTAGCATGTTTTTCCAGCTGTGTTTGTAAATGGAATTTTAGGACTGTAAATTGAATGATGCTTGTGTTCTGCCCATCTCAAAATATTGTACAGTTCTGGCCACATTAATTTCATTATTGTTAATTGAATTTTAAAACATGAAAATCATATGCTTTGCATAACATTCATACCAAGTTTCATGAAAAACTTGTTATTGTCATAGCAAAAGACACTAGGGGTGAAGATGATTATGATCTATGGAAGAATGTGTGAGCCATTAGTCATAACGAGAACGTTAATTTTATATTATCAGAAAATATTATCCTTCACTCTTTCTCTCTCACACACATACATTCATTCATAAGATCTTCCTGTGCTGTTACAGCTTTGAAAGCCATGTTGAATTAGTATCTGAGATAGGATCATATTTTCTGCATACGTATACACACAAATCTGAATTAATTGTGTAAAGACGAGGAGCTGTCCAGTAATATTTTTAATCTGGTCATTTATTTTGTCCATGTATTTTACTGTACAAACAAGACATCTTCACCATTGTATTACAGAATGTTAAATGATGCTGTTTCTTGGTTATGCGTCAAGTTACTAAATGAACAAAACTTGATTCGGTCTCGGACCATAATGAATTTGAATGGAATAGTTCCGTTAAGTGGACCTCGGTGGGTTCACAGACTTCTGTAAATAAATTTCCATTAACTTTGTATGCTGTCAGATACATTCACAGAATTGCTGCAGATGCGTATTAATGTTTAATTTCTTACACTGTGTGATAAGATTACTCTGGGTTTGAAGTAGCGACATGATACTGGCATGTTGTTACATCCATGATGCTGCCTCTGTTGGCTCTGGTTTCGTCATGGAATGAAGTGTACAGCAATGTAATGACATAAGCGCATGAACATCTGTTATAAGGCTGCACAAATGTTAATGCTGTTTATTTAAATAAAATGTTATTGTTATTGTAGGTAGGTTATAAGAACTGCATTGTCAACTTATACTTAGAAACAAGTTTTTTTGACTTTGTGTGCTTGAAGTTTATAATAAAGAAGAAACTTACACAGTAAATGACATTAGTTTTCCATGTTAATGTTATTTTAAAAAAAATTGTGATTCTTTGTGTGTGCGTGTGCACATGTTATTTAATGTGCATTTCGTAACTACAAGATTTGTTCAATTGAAATATGTTGAATGTTCGTTTTATCCCTTGTGGTATGTACGGGATGATTTTTAAATGCAAAACACTTTATAATGGAAGTAAATTTGGATTAAAATGCTTAATTTTCATATCTTTAGTTCCAAACTGATGTCCATTGTGTCAATCCAGGATCCCTTGGGACTCGCGCATAGTAGTGTTTTTATAGGTATATCCTAGAGTGGTCCAGTTTCATCTGAAATACCGTGTCCTGCTTTGCCATGAGTTTAAAAACACTGTAGCCTCAGTATGTCCCTCAAAATTTTTTTCCCAAGATTTTCCATATTTCCTTCTTCCTCCTTTCAAAGCCCATTCTGTTAATTCCATATGTTCTAACCTTTTCAACAGTATTATTGATTTAAAGCTTTTCATACACTGCATATTTTATGGTAGAAATTAATTTTCTTGTTATAAATAACTGAAATTGAATGAATGAATTTTCCAGTTAATCAGTATTACCATTATTTATATATGTATAAGCAGGATATGATCTTGAAAATACGTTTAATGCGAGATACCTCATTCTAGCCTTGCATTAACTTCATATGGAACTTGACATTCATATATCATGTTTCTATAAAGCTGTTAATTTTCATTGTAGGTTATGCAAATGCAAAGATCTATAAGTGTGATAATGAAAAGTGTCCTAGACCAGCAAGCTACATCTCGGGAGGCTCTTCGAAGGACGATTCCTTCCCATGCTTCCGTCCCAACTGCTCAGGTCGCTTCCAGCTCGTAAGACATGTTTCTTTTGTGGACTGTCCTGGTCATGACATTCTTATGGCAACTATGTTGAACGGTGCAGCCGTCATGGATGCAGCATTGCTATTAATTGGTAAGTTTATAATTCAAGATTCTGACAAATGCCATTAACCCATAGCTCACTGCAGCCTGATAATTGAAATTTATTATAATGTTCTCAAGCATTTCAAGGGCTAAAATGGAATGACATCTATTGTAAGTGAATTTTTATCACTTTTGTTCCCAGCTGGTAATGAATCTTGCCCTCAGCCTCAAACTTCTGAACATCTGGCTGCAATTGAGATCATGAAGCTCAAACACATTCTGATCCTGCAGAACAAGATTGATCTAGTGAAGGAAGGCCAAGCCAAGGAGCAGTATGAGCAGATCCTCAAATTTGTACAAGGTAAAAACTAGGTTGAAGTGTTATTTGAGTCCATCCTGATTCTTATTGAGTTCATGTGAAACTGTCCCATTACTACTTTTGTCTTGTTCATAACCTTCTGCAAGCTACTTGAAGTTTTCACTGCTGCATATGGTTTCCTAATGTTCTACTGCCTTTGGAACAGTTACCTTACATTTATTTTAACTTGACTGTTTTCTGGGAGTACTTTCATTTCAGAGGTAATTACTGCATCCAGCTTCAGGGCTTTGGTGATGAATGCAATGAGCATATCTGAAGCACCAGTCAAATTCTATCAGAGTATATGGCACAGTATCCCGGGAGACATTCGTCATCATTCTCGCCATGAGAACATGAAATCTTGATTGCATTTATTTGTTCTTAAAAAACTGACACTGCATGGTTGTGAAATGTGTGAGGGAAAGCAAATGGTAAAATAGTATTAAGATTAACAATACTGAATGATTTCTCGCCATATGACCTTTGTTGCCGTTCAGCTAATAGCCATGCACTGTTTTGTTTCTGTACTTGTGTGGGATTGTAGAAAATATAGTGTCAGCACAGATAACTTGGACAGTGATCTGTGCTGATTCGCTGAGACGTCATATCTTGATTTAAATGTACAATTACAGGAACTGTAGCTGAAGGAGCTCCTGTAGTTCCGATTTCTGCGCAGCTGAAGTACAATATCGAAGTTCTGTGTGAATATATCACAAAAAAGATCCCGGTTCCAATGCGGGATTTTACGTCATTGCCTCGTCTGATAGTGATCCGATCATTTGACGTGAATAAGCCAGGTTGTGAAGTTGACGACTTAAAAGGGGGTGTGGCTGGGGGCAGCATTTTGCGAGGAGTTCTCAAGGTTTGTGCATTTCAAGCTGCCTGAATCAGGGCTCTAGTACCTTTGGTCATTACAGTTTTAGCCTCAGTCTCATGTTTTAAAATGTAATAAACAGGCTGAATGGTATGTAAAGTGTATAAAAAACCAAAGAATGTATTGTACCACTTACCTGATGTCTGCAACAGATTCAGATATTTCTGTGACTTGGGTTGTTCTAAATTTGTAGCCCTATGTAACGAGAATGCAAACCTGTCGGCTGCGACTTTAATGACACTCTTGTTTGTTTATGTTTGCTCGTTCTTTCTTTAACAGGTAGGCATGGAGATTGAAGTTCGACCAGGACTTGTGTCCAAAGACAGTGAAGGCAAACTCACTTGCCGGCCCATCTTTTCTCGCATTGTGTCCCTGTTTGCAGAACAGAATGAGTTGCAGTTTGCTGTTCCAGGTGGACTAATTGGTAAGGAGAATCATACATTAGTCTTTTGCTCCTTCTAATGTAATAAAATGAAAATCTCCATGCCCTGTCTAACATAATTAAATATAGTGAAAGTCAACCATCCATATAAACTTATTACAGCCGTGACTGCTGAATGAGCATGTCCTTTCAGATGTCTGGGTATGTGCATGTGCGTAATTTTCCATTTCTTGTTGTAGGTGTTGGCACGAAGATTGAACCGACATTGTGCCGAGCTGATCGTTTAGTTGGCCAAGTTCTGGGGGCTGTAGGAGCTTTACCCAAGATATTTATTGAACTTGAAATCTCATACTATCTTTTGAAGCGGCTGTTGGGAGTTAGAACAGAGGGTGACAAGAAAGGAGCAAAGGTATTAACTTCACTTTCTGCTGTCTGTTGACCGTGGTAGTTGGGTACATTATTGTTTTCAATATGAATGTGTAAATGGATCAACAGAATTTGCTTACACAGTGGTTTGCTCATAAGATCTTTGGAGACTGGCATTAGATTAGTATGCAAGTTCAGTATGATTGTATGTAGTGTTGTTTTTGTAACAGGTTCAAAAGTTGTCGAAGAATGAGGTTCTATTGGTGAACATTGGTTCTCTGTCAACTGGTGGAAGAGTGCTGGCCACGAAGGCTGACTTGGCAAAGATCAGCCTTACAAACCCTGTCTGTACTGAAATAGGAGAGAAAATTGCGCTCAGTAGACGTGTTGAAAAACACTGGAGGTAATTGAAACACCAGGCGTACCCATAAGTTAATACCCAAATAGTTACTGATCAGAAATGAAACGCCCCATTGCCGTCCATGTACCGATCTAAACCAAAATAATATACTCCTAGCAGTTACCATTTAAAATGGAATGGAATTATATGCCCAAAAGTTATCATTCAAAGTGAAACTACCTACCTTTCATTTATCAGTGCAGAATAAAAGATGTGCTGTGTTTAAAAGTCCAAAATAAAACAATACACACAGCAGGTCACCAAACTACAACATACTCATACCAGTCCAAAGAAAATATGTTTGTCTGAGGTAATTGATTTAAAATTGCTTTCTGGTAACATTAATATATTTTCTTCAACAGACTGATTGGCTGGGGTCAGATTCGCGGAGGCGAAACCATAGAACCTGTTGTTGATCACAAAGGAAACTAAGTGTGAAAAAATACCAGATGAGTGGTAAGATGGGAAGAATGTCTGGATTCACAACAGCACTTGTAATTTCATGTTTCTATAAATATCTGCTAAACACTGGCTTAATTGCGGTGGATGCAGTTTATGTACATGATAAAGAGTTTGTTTGCAATACAGGCGAAGCACTGGTCAGGAATTTTTCTTGTGTTACTCCACCTACAATTAATTTGTCCATACCATAAGATTGAAGTATCTAACATTTACAAAAGATAAGTTTTATGGCAATACTGTTTTGTTCTAGCGTTAATAGGCTTGTTCCTTTTCGGGTAACATAACTTTGGTGTACAGTCTGTCTGTCTTTCATACGTTTAGTCTTAAAGTTTCGTTGTTTGAGAAACGATTGAATGTGATGGGCTTGGTGTCCTAGTTCTCGTTTGCTTTCCACTTGTCTTCTTCAATCTTTGTATGTTGCACTTACTGTGGCAGGTCACACAAGCAACCCCTTTCAGATTATTTTGCTTTGAAGTTATTTTCATCAGTTGGACTTCATTATTTCACAGTGGTACAAAAGTAATCAGCGTACTGTACCTAATTTTACGAAGGCTAATTCTGCAATGTTTTATGGATTATATTTACATTGTTGATCCAGCTCTACCGTGCATATAAATCAGCCATTGCCAAACATACCATCAACATGGGCCACCATTTTGTACTGAATTACATAATTATCCTGTCCAAGAAATCTAGGCGCAAGGATAGGATATTCGGTGAACAGAGAGGTGTATTGATGTTAAGGACACGGAAGTCACTTCTTCATGTGCCGAAAAACAGTTCTCTCCAAGAACATGACTTCCTTTCAGCTCCTTATTCTCTGTCTCACCAAAAATATGTAATGTGGGTTACAAGGTTAATGTGTGGAGCCACAGAACTAAAAACATGTTAGATAAATTTTATTTCATACCAGAACTTCACTTAACACATTTTGGCATGTAAATAACTACTATTAAATATCCATTTGTACATAAAGTTACATAAAACACAACTTTCTGTTGCGGGTCAACTAAACAACTGCTGTAATTACATCTGTATACTTCTTAATCTTGGTAGCAATGCTCATGTCTACATATTTATCACCAATGCTGACAATCATTCCTCCAATGATTGTTGGATCTACTTTGACATTCAATTGTAATTTCTGTCCCTGTTTCAAGAAAGATTTTAATGCAGCCTCCAGTTCAGTTTTTAAAGCATCATCTAGCGGCTGTAAGAAATCAAACA